CCAGGAGAGATTTGGCAATATCTGGAAATAGTTTTGGTTGTCACTCCTGGGGAAGAGTCCTGCTGGCATCTATTGCATAGAGACCAGGGATGCTGCTAGACATCCTACAATGGACAGGACAGCTTCCTACAACAGAGAATTATCTGGCCCAAATCATCAGTAATGCCAAGTTTGAGAAATGCTGGTCTCTAGGACTTGAGGACATGAAGAGAGTGGTGGTGACAGCAGCTTGGGACAGTCTTTTAATGTGGTTCCTGCTCTCTTCAGCCACTGCATTTAGTTAACCCTCTGTGGAGGACAGCATGAGCAGAAATAATCACCAACATGGTGTTGCTCTTGTCAGTGGCCATCAAGTTGGCTCCACCTCATCGTGCCCGCTTACGTATATCGGAATGAAATGCTGCCCAGTCCTGTCATCTTCATGAACTGGGATGCTGGAGTCTGTTTTCGAGGTTCTTGTGTCAGTCCACCTCATTAAGAGTTTTCTTCATTTTTGCCAAACTTGATGTCCTTTTCCAGCAATTGTTCTTTCCTGATGACATGTCCAAAGGAAATGAGCTGAAGTCTCTCCACCCTCACTTCCAAGGAGCCTTCTGGTTGTAGTTCTTCTGAGACTAATTTGTTGGTTTTTATGGCAACCCATGGTAAGTTCAAATTAGTCTTCACCAATACCACAGTTCAAATACATCAATAATTCTTCTTTTATCATTGTCCAGCTTTCCCACAGCTTCTGTTTAACCAGAAATTCAGCAGTTCAAATCCATCAGCTGCTCCGTGGAAGGAAGATGGGGCAATCTATTTCCATGTAGATTTACTGCCTCGGAAACCCAACGGGGGTCACTGTGAGTCAACTCAATGGCAGTGAGTTTGGATTTGGTTTGAGTATGTATTGAAGGGAGCTCTGGTGGTGTAGTGCCTAAGGCATTTGACTGCTAACCAGAAGGCTGGTGGTTCAACCCACCAGCCGCTCCTCTAAAGGAAGACTAGGCAGTCTACTTCCATAGAGATACCACCTCAGAAACCCAAGGAAGAGTCGCTAATAGTCAGAATCGGGTCGACAGCAGAGAGTTTGGTTTGATTTATGTACTGAAGGAGCTCTGGTGGTGTAGTGGTTAAAGCGTTTGGCTGTTAACCAAAAGGTCGGTGGTTTGAACCCACCAGTTGCTTTGCTGAAGAACGATGAGGCAGTCGGCCTCCCTAAAGATTTACACCCTTGGAAATCCATTGGGGGTCTCAGTGAGTCTGAATGGACTCGATGGCAGTGAGTTGGGTTGTGGAGTATGTACTGAGTGCTGGTATTATTTCATTTAATCTTCCAATAAGCCCTGCTGATTACATGCTCCTTGAGAGCAGGGACAATGTCTGTTTCTTTTATTGCTGTATATACCTTAGGTCTAGTACAGTGTCTTGGCACATGACAGGCCCTCAACATCTTGGGTAAATAGAGTAATTATATCCATTTTATACATGAGGAAAATGAAACTTAAGAATGCATGTAGCACATGGTGGACATAAGTAATACCACAGAACTATACAAGTGAAGAGTGTTGAAACCTAAATGTTTTGTTACATACATATTTACTACAATAAACAAAACCTCCCACACAACTAGCCTAAGTAGCAGAGTCAAGATTTGAACTGAACCCTGTGTAACTGCAGCACTAAATCACCTACCACTGAATTATCCCCTTCCCTTACAGTACCAGGGAGGTTTTCTGGCCTCTAAAAATACTAGTAGGGACAAAGGGAACAGAAAGGAGTTTTACAAAATAGAAGTTAAAACTACTTGTCTATGTGGAAGGAGTCCCTGAGTGGTGGAAATGGTTACATGCTGTGGGCTGCTAACTGAAAAGTTGGGAGGTCGAGTCCACCCAGAGGCAATTTGATCCAAAGGCCTGGCAAAATCAGTCATTGAAAACCCCATGGAACACAGTCCTATTCTGACACATACAAAGTAGCCATGAGTCATATAATCTACTCAGTTTTCGTTTTTAAAATCTGGAAACTGATATGGAAGAAAGGCATCAGGAAAACTTTCTCTGACTCTGGAGAACGCATTTACTGTTTTTGAACAGTGATTTTGGCCTTTCAAGTGTTTCTGTGTGCGCTGTCTGTGCAGGTGTCAGTTTTCTCATTTTGCAGTTGAGGAAAGCGAGGCACAGAAGTCATGTGAGAAAGTTTAGTAGAGGACTGGAACGTGAGACTTTGCATAAGGAATGTTCCATTTCCCGGTGCATCCTGGGGTAAGAGGGCTCCGCTGAATAAGGGGATCCTCAGGAATGGACTTGCAGCTCGC